GCATGTGTTAAAATTTAAAGGTCAGACCTGTTTCCTTCTCAGCAGCTGTGTGGGAATTGCTCATCTTGTAATTCCTGTATGTCACTTTGATCAGAGGACTAGCTACAGAAAACAGTGCCTATGCCAAGCAAGAAAACTTACCCCCCATCCAAATCTCTGAAACCCATCTTTCAGAGTTTGCCACAATATAAGCTCAAAATTATGTTCAAGCCCCGGTCTTTCATCTTTTACTGAACACATTAAAGCAGTACACATACGTTACAACTGCACCTCTATCTTTTTTTAAGTTTCAGCTCTTCTGCCCTCGTCTATACTCTGCAGAGCAGGCCTGTGTCTGCAACCACTGGCAAGCACTCACATGGCCAGGTCCAAGGACTGGCCATCCAGGAGTCTTCCCAGACCACCCCAGAGGCACAATGTTTGTGCATCAAGAAGCAGCACAGTGTAGTAGAGCTCAGAGGCAAGAAGGCCAGCCATGCTGGCTGTGAGACTGCCAAGAGGAACAGAGTCCACTCCAAAAAAATGCCCTGGCCCAGATCCCAAGATGTACGTTTCTCTCCGTGACTGACCAGGGACCCTGGCAGCAGCGTGGTTACAGGTTAGACTAATGGTTTTGCTGGACATCAAAGTTCCCAGATTTCCTGGCACTGCTTTAGCTAAAGTTTGATTCGGTTGATCTGAGACCAGGTTGATTTGAGAAACTCTACGTTTAGTTCTGCAAGCGCTAGACAGAAGGAAACGGTGGGATTTGCTCTTGTGAGACATTGCATGTGTGGCATGAGCCTGAAGAGGAGTAGATAGACTGGTATCAGACATGTGGGTTAATATCAGACTTTTGGGCTTGATCTGGACTGGACTGGAATGTTTTCTCAATATTCAAGTGTTCTTATACAGTGAACCCTCCTTTATCGCAGTTAATCGGTTCTAGACCCTACCATGATAAATGAAATTCCGCGAAGTAGGATTCCTTATTTGTAAATCAAATATTTTCGTAGTTAGAGCATAGAGGACATGAAAAAACACCCTTTAGTCACCAT